GCCCCCCCCTCCCCCCCCATCTGACGGATGGGGAAGCTAAGGATTAGAGAGAAGAAGGAATTTTCTGAGGTCACAGCCAGCAGGTGGCAGAGCCGGGGTTTGAAACACCAGGTTTCCTGCTAGAGCAAAGGTGTCACACTGGCAGGAGTGCGGGTTAAGGCTTCCCAGTATGTGCACCCCACCAGGAGATGGGGCGAGGCTAGCCACAGCGTCTGCAGGTGGCTGGTGGGCACTGAGTTTCCACATCCTCAACGGGCAGAAGTTCTGTCACTGCACCCTGCCAGCCCCCTCCACAGCCAAAGAGGCAGGGTGAGGGGAACCAGCCCCCACCAGGCAGAAGCTGCCAGAATGCGCAGCAATGGAGGAGAAAAGCAAAAGCAACCAACAGACTTTAGAAAAGGCACCAGGAGCTTCTCCAGACCACTGTGTTTACCCGCAGATTTCCCTCGGAAACTGGAGGTGTGGGAGTGGGTGGCTGGGGCCACGCACACATGTAACCCCGCCCCCCCCCACAATTCCTAAGCAGGACACATCTGCCCAAGAATTCCCAATTTAGAGCCCAAAGGGCCGGGACCAAATCCAGCCCCTTCTTGCACCCATTTTACAGATAAGAAAACAAAAAAACCTGAGGGAGGTGAAGAGCTTAAAATCACAAGAACTCCACTTTATGCCACCAGCCAGCCTATTTCAGAGAATATTTAGAGCTGGAAGGTGTTTAGAGAATATCTGGCTCACCATATCATTTTATGGAGTGGAAACCAAAGCCAAGGGTGGGAGTGGGGTGGTGTGCCAGGCCCTGATTCCTCTAGAGTCTCTGGCCCTCCATGTCCTTATCCGGAAGATGCAGACACATACAGCCCACTTCCCGGGGCTGAAGACTGATAAGCTAATAAATACTACTTATTGTTATCTATTATCAGCAAAGCTTCCACGTGAGCCTTCTGATGATCCTGCCAGCCAGCAGGACAAGCCTTTGAGGACTGGCCCTCATCATTCTTGCTCTGGGTGCGCAGAGGCAGAAATGGCCTAGGACCACATCCAGCACCAGGCACTGCCCTCATCTCTTTCTCACTCTCCTGAAGGTAGGTGAGGTCTGACCTTTCCAGGTGGATCTAGAGAAAATAATGGAGCACAAAGAAGGGCTCTGGAGCCAGACACACTGACAGGGTCAAATCCAGGCCCCATTGCTGCGTGACCTTGGGCCAATGTCTTAACCGCTTTGAATGTTGGGTTTCTTTCATCTGTAAAAGGGGAATAAAATTGTTACCTCCCTCATGGAGATTTAATGAGGATTAAATGAGCGAACTCGCAGTGCTCGGTGAGTGTGAGCTATAATTGTTATCAAGTCCAGGGTCCCCTGTGACTATCATCAGAGTGTTCCTTACCCCTGTCTTCCCACTCCAAGATGGGGATAGGCAACCAGCTTGCCAGGCCAGGTTAGGGATGTGGTTTCAGTCAAAGAACTGCTGATTAAATCAATCTTAAAGTTTCATTTTACACATATATTAAATTGATGCAAAAATGGAACCCTGGAACATGCATATATGGCTGGTTGCCATATAAATGGTTCAACCCTTTTGGAAAGTGGTTCTTGGCCACAGCCATAAAAGATCAATATCCTCTGATGCAGTAATACCACTCCTGGGACTCCAGCCTAAAGAGATAATTCAAGAGACTTAAAAAGAAAAAAAAAAAAAAAACCAGACAACTATCTGCATGAAACTGATCCTGCAATGAGCATCTAGAAGAAAAATAATTAGGAACAACCTACATCTCCAGTAATGGGAGACGATCGGAGGATTGATGGATGATGGAGTCAGAGATGGATTCCAGTGTATTATGGCCATCATTAAAATGGTAATTACCAGCAACCAGCAACTCTGGAACAATGTCTACCTCCGGAGAAAGGACCAAGAGGGGCCAAAAAAAAAAAAAAACGGATACAATGGTGGAAATAAATGTGATTTCTCCCCTCCAAAACACCTTTTGACTTTTTTCAATTAACAGCAACAACAATAACAAAAATAAAAACACAGGAAGGAAGACAATTTCTCGTAAGGCCACAAGTGTGGCTCTCACTTGAGGCCTCAGGGGGAGGCCTGGGCCAGTGTGAACCTCCCTCCCCTTTGGTGGAAGGATGAATGGGCGAGGGAGGAGGTGATGCAGAGATGGGCCAGGTGGAGACAGGCAGGGATGTGCCCAGGCTTATGCGAGAAGGCTTGGGGCTAGGAAAAAGACAGTGTGTGATTAGGGAGGGCCTCTGGGAGGTGGTGTCCTCAGAGCAAACTCCTAGGTGATGAGTATGGATACTCTGGGGGTAATCTGGGCAGAGGCAAGAAGGAACTGGGAGTTGGGCCAGCTCTGAAAAGACAGCCTGGGAGCAGGCTGGGGAGTTTGCACCACAAGGAAGCCCCATGATGGGCTTAAGGAAGATCCCTGGGTCTGCCTGGAGGAAGATGGGTAGAGGGGTGTGTCTGGTGGGTTGAGGAGGCTGCTGCAAGCATCCAGAGAGACGAGGTCGACTGGAAGGAGGAGGGGAGGGGAGGAGCTTCTCAGAACACACATGAAAAGCAGGTTGGCAGAGGACCTGAGTTCAGGTTGGGGCACCACAGTAGAATATGTGTTGGAAGCTGCAGGGTGTGGCTGAGTTCACCCAGGGAAAGTGAAAGGAGAGCCAGGCGGGCGCAACCATTAAAGGAGGAGGACCCCGAAAAGGGGACACAGAAGCAGAGAGGGAGAAGGAGCAGGTGAGAGGTGTCTAGAAGCCAAGGGCCTGGAGGTCTGTAGGAAGGAGGGAGGGATGGGGTCAGATGTTGGAGAGGCATTCAGAGAGATAAGGACTGAATCATTCCTGTTCAATTGATCAACTCCGGTGACGTCCCCAGAGCACGTTCAGTGTGCCATAAAGGGAGAGAGGGGAGGGACAAGGAAACAGACCTTGGGAATCCGGGGGCTTCCTTTTGAGGATATTGGATGAAAAGAGAGGGGAGGAAGTAGGTAGTGGCTACACGATGCACGCGGTCCCGCTGAGATCAGTAATCTGACTGCCCAACTGGACTGTCGGGGTCCAGACCCCAGCTGCTGCGAGGCTCAGACGGCAGACCTGGTGGGCAAGCAGAGCCCCGCCCTTCTCCCTCCTGGTCCACTGAGCTCAGAAAGCCGGAGGGCTATGTGCAGGGAAGCCAGGGCTCTCCCAACCCGGGAGGCCAATCTGGTGCCAAATCCCAGCCGCCAGGATCCCCGCCCTGCCCCCCAACCTCAGCAGGCTAACTGGAGGGGAGCCCACCCTGCCGAATGCACAGGTGCTGGGGAACAGGTCCAGGGCAAGCCCAGCTCTGCCAACCCCAGACGCGGGAGGAACCACAGGTGCCATCTGGGTGTGGAGGCAGGGGCTAGGGCAGGCAAGAGGAAGTTTACTGAAAACCACAGCTTTTTTTTTTTTTTTTACATTAATAAACTCTTTTTCCTAAAAGAGGGGTGTTTGTTCCCATTTTTATTTCTGGCTACTTAAAAAATTAGCAATATTATAGCTTAATGACAAAAATACCAACCACTCACATTGACAGAGCACATCGCTGCCAGACAATGGCTGTTCTGGGCCATTCAAAAAGACTAACTCACTCAATCTTCCCAACAGCCCAACGAGGTAGGTGTTATTGTTGTCCCCATTTCACAGGTGAGGAAACTGAGGCTCCCCTGCACTGTTGAATTTCAGCATTCCCCTGATTATCTTCCTGCTCTTGGCTCTCTCATTCTAGAAATGCCCCAGAGCCGAGGGAGGAAAAGGGGATGCTGCTGGCCTGGCAGACAAGCCTCCTGGGCGTTCCTCCTGCCGCTGCCACTCACCTAGGAGGGTGCTGAGCCCCGGTTTCTCACAGGTAAGGTGAGAGGGTTGGCTGTGATGGCCTAGCTGCACTCTGACCCCCAGTGGGGTGGGTGATGACACGAGCACAGACTTTCTGGAAGGCTGCTGGGCCATGGCCATGCCTTCCCCACAGGCCTTGTCTCTGCTGTCAGGCCAGAGGTTGATCTGAGGGAGCCATGAGGAGGGGGAGTCCCTACATTTCCTTTCTTCCAGGCTCTTCTCCCTCTGCCTTTGCCAGCTCTGCTAGGTTGGGGGAAAATATGAAAATATGAAAGGGGGCTTTGGCCTCTCTCTCTCCCCCACCTCTTTCCACAGACTCAATTTTGTTGCTAACCCCCTTCCCTGCCAACTGGAAATCATGGATGGCTGGGGGGTGGTCAGTGTCTTGCAGACATCCATCCTTCCAAGTCTGCCCAGCTCCCCCAGGGAGGTAGGGGTCTCGCAACCTCAGAGGAGAAATGGCCACGGACCACACCACAGCCAAGAGCAGACTCCCCCTCTTAGACCCCCTGTGTTTGACCTGAGCCAGGGACGTCGGAAGAAGGTGTCCACCCGCGGGAGGCCCTATTCTCCAGTCAGTCCCCACCCAGAGCTGCTGGTTTCCAGGTACTGGGCGCTGGGCCAGCACTTTAAGGTGCTGCCCTTGGGTCCGTGGTCTGAGGCCGAATGGGGGATATGGAGATGGGCAGCGCTGAGGGGCACGCGGATTTGGCTTATGGGACGCTCTGTTCCCTGCTCTTCGGCAGGACAGCAGATTCCCGAGTCCCTTGGAGAGCGCCTCCTTTCTCCCTCCCGACCCTAGGAAGCGAGTGGGACTGGTGCTGCTTTGGGGGTGTCTGGAAGAAACGAATGAAACGGACATTTAACGAGGTCCTAGCACGTGCCAACCATTTTCACATACCTACATTTTAGTAAATCCTCACTACGAGTGGACACTGTGACGCCCGTTTCACAGATGCGGAAACTGAGGCTTGCCACAGAGGTGCCTGGAGGGAAAGGCGAGGGAAAGGAGCCTTTCCCGCGCCGCCCCCCCGCCCGGGCCCGTGTCTCAGTGGCGGCAGGCACCGGCCTCCCCTTTCCCGCCGGCCGCCCCTCCCACACCCCCCGCCCGCGCCCGACGGCGCGCGGCGCTCACCTCGATGCGGTCCAGGCGGTCCCGGAGGGCGCGCACGGCGTCCTCCAGCTCCAGGATGAGCGCCGGCGAGTCCCAGGGCCCGTCGGCCATGGCGTCGCGGCGGGGCCCGGCGTCCTGAAGGCCGCGCGGAAGGCCGCTCTCGCAGCGGCCCAGCTTGCCGGTGAGCTCGCGGATGGTGTCCTGGTCGGCGCGGATGCGCGCCTCCTGCTGCAGCGCCGTCTGGCGCAGCTGCTCGGCCGTGCTCTGCAGCAGCAGCAGCTCCTCGCGCTCGCCGGCCGCCGCGTCGCCCTGCTCGGCCCCCGACGGGCAGGCGGCCGCCAGCGGCGTGCAGAGGAAGCGGCTGAAGAGGGGCACGGGCGGCAGCGGGTGCGCGCTGGCCGCTGGCGCCCCGGGCAGCGCGGGGGGCCCGGCCGAGCCGCCAGCGCCGTGCAGCGCGCTCAGACTGCGCTGCGGGCCCGGGGACGCGGCGGCGGCGGCCGAGGCGGCCGAGGCGGCCGAGGCGTTGTCGGCGCCGCCGGGCAGCGCCCGC